TCAAAACGTGGTTAAAGCATGGGTAAAGTAACATTAACACATATCGAAATATGCCAAACATCAACTAAGCACGCCGTCTAACTAACTAAGCTACGAGAGCTTGTTGCTCTCTTATTTCAGTACAAAATAATTAATTCCTTGTTTCATAGATTTGCTTTAAAATTCAAATATAGCTATGGATAGTAAATTTGCTAAAAATATCTTTACAAATGATAAATACAGTATAAATATTTGATGTGTCGTGTAATTTCCCCTTTTTAAAATCTATTCTTTCTGGTCCACTTTAATTGATTTTTTGGACTATTTTCACACATATTAAGCAATCCAACTTTTAGCATTACTTAACAATAAAATTGACCATATTAGACTTAATTTGTTCATTGAAAATAGGGAAATAGGTCAAAATACCTTTCTACTATGCGAAAAGGATCGTTTATACCCTCCATAATACTTTGGGTATGTTAATAACCCTAACATTACATAACTAATCTAAAAATACCCATACGCCGTTAGAATACTCTACCTTGGCGAGTACCATTTCATGTGGCCTGACATGTTAATGTGGTGGATGCCATGTGGTACGCTACCTCACCACCCCAACACTATCTTGCTCCCTTCCCCTCTCCTCCCCACCCCACCACCACCTCCCCTTTCAACCAATCACCACTGCCACCACTAACTCCTCTTTCACCACTCACTAATTCTTCCATACCATTAGACCACCATTCTTGACCACCATAGACAATATTCTTTCACCTTCTTCTCCGTGTTTTATTCACCACCTCCATTGACAATTACCTTGAACAAAGTTCATCCATCTCTCTTTGAACACCATTGACCAGCTCATTCATAACTCCCTCCAATTTTACAAAGCTAAATGTGTCATCCACGTCATTGACATGTCAGGCCACATGCAATATTACTCACCATGATGGAGGGTTCTAACGGTGGAGGGGTATTTTTGCACTAATTATGTAACGTTGGGGGTATTGGTGAACCGAAAGTATAACGGAGGGTTTAAATGATCCCTTTCGCATAGTAGAAGTGTATTTTTGACCCTTTTCCCTTGAAAATATAACAGATTTCGAGGACAACTTTGGAAAAAATAAGTTAATTACTTTTTAATAATTGAAAAAAATTAAATATTGTGAACCACAAGAAAAAGACCTAAAAATCAATTAAAATGAATCGAAAGGAGTAATACTCATTAGGGTACACGAAGTGCGCATACCTACAAACTAGTTATTTCAATAGGTTGAGTATTGCAACCATAAAACCAAAGAGATATGTAAGACACAAATTATAGTGAGGCATGATAATAGAACTTGAGCAACTAACTATATAACAAAGGAATAGAACATTTGCACATGTATTATTTCAACAATTATTGCAAAACGTTATTCCATTCAAACATGGATGATATTACGTTATTCCATTCAAACGTTATTCAATTCAAACATGGATTATATTTTTCCTATATTATTTTATTTATTTTATATGAAAAAGGTCATGTAATTAAAATAACATTCACAGATAAGGTGCTCTAAATTTAATTTTAACTTTAAAAGCTGATGATATGCTATAAGTTTTTATCAACATTTTCAATAGGTATTTGCTAAAACAACCCCCNGCTCTGTTCTCCCCACCGTGCGCCTATTGTCTTTCTTGCTACGTTATACTTCTCAGTTGGTCGGGCGAAACATAGAGAGAGGGAATGCTGAGCCTAAGCAACACTCTTCCAACAGTTTCTGGTCCTCAGAGAAGCAGTTTTGCCTCTCCAATTTTAGCTGTCAATCCTCAAAAAAGTACCAGCTGCTTTAAAAATCACAGCTTTGTGTTTTCATCATCTTTAATGAGACAACAATCTGAACACACCCCAACTATGTTGTCTTGCAAAGCTTCTTTGGAAGTTGTAAAGGACTCACCCAGGTACTTTACTACCAGCTTTCTTGTTTTTTTCTTATTTAATTTGTTTTCAGTCTGTAAAGAATGTTTTTTTTTCTTTTTCTTAATTTGATGTTGGGTTTACTCAAGAATATGTAAAGTTGCTATCTTTAATATGTTAGTAGTTAGTTCTTTGTGCAAATTGCAGATAATCGCTTGCTGCTCATTGGGTTTTATGAGTTTACGGTGGGGTGGCGTTAATTGAAATTTGGCACTTTACTTGCTCAGCTTTTGTTGGGAATTTATTGAAATCCTTTTCTTTTTGAGATTTTATACTACCTGCTAGCTACTCTTTGCATTTGGAAGTTTATTTGTTATTGTGCTCTTCATGAACATTAGTAAAAATATTGCTTTAGATAGTTTATACCTTTTAATGGTTGTTTAAATTTCTAGTGCTATTTTTAACTGTCTTTTTTCTTTTAATTATGTTAATGATGCTCTAGAATGTGTTAACTGTGAAAATAATGCAGTTGTTCAGCAGTCCATGGAATATCGGAAATGGTTGTGGGTGTTTTGGGAGGAGGGCAGCTGGGTCGTATGCTGTGTGAAGCGGCATCCCAGATGGCGATCAAAGTGATTGTCTTGGACCCAATGGAGAATTGTCCTGCTAGTGCACTAGCACATCAACATGTCGTGGGAAGCTATGATGACAGTGCCACTGTTGAAGAATTTGGGAAAAGGTTTGTCATTTGCAAATCATATGTTTATGGATTTTGATTATTCAACAAGCTAATTTGGATGTGAAAACAGGTGTGGAGTACTAACCGTTGAGATCGAGCATGTTGATGTTGCCACACTAGAGAAGCTTGAGCAACAAGGTGTGGATTGCCAACCCAAGGCTTCTACTATTCGTATAATCCAGGTTAATCTTTCAACATGTCTTAATTAGAATAAAAGTGTCATATTTGATATGCAATTATTGAGATTATTTCGTTGGTTTCTCATACTAACAGCATTTGTTTGCTTGGTTAACTCATTTTTTCTTGTAACAGGATAAATATCTTCAGAAGGTCCACTTTTCTCGTCATGCTATCCCACTTCCTAAGTTTATGCAGGTTGACTTGTCGTGGCAAGGATTGCTTATGTTCATATTTCTTCTCCCTATGATAAAATTTGATGTTTTCACTTATGCGGAAAATATGACTAAAACAGATTGATGATCTTGAAAGTGCTAGACGAGCAGGGGACCTGTTTGGTTATCCACTTATGATAAAGAGCAGGAGATTGGCGTATGATGGTCGTGGCAATGCTGTAGCTAAAAGTGAGGAGGAGCTGTCCTCTGCTGTTAATGGTAGTATGCCAATCCGTTCAAATTCGCACAAGTATTTGCTTTGCTTACTTCTTAAATTTTTATCCAAGTGCAAAAATAAGGCCTTGGGGAGAAGAAATGACTAGATAAAAAGTGTCCATGGATTTTCTAATTTATTCTGCGTTGAAATTGCCACAAGAACCACAGGAAGATTTATTAACCCATTTGTGGGCTTTATATTGAGATGACACTATCTCAGGGGAACATCATCTGCTAATAATAGTTGGAGAGCTTCTTTGGTTAAGAATCAATGTTTCCACTTTTAATTTGTTTGTTTATAATTGAAGCTTAATCAGGCAGTAGTAACATGTGGTTCAACTTGATTTTCAGTGCTTGGAGGATATGGTCGTGGTTTATATGTTGAGAAATGGGCGCCATTTGTAAAGGTTAGAATTTGCTTCATTGTTCAGCGGTGTTTAATATGCATTTACCAATCACTTGCTACAAAAAGGAATACAACTATATATGTCTTTGCTTCATGCAATTATACAAGGAATCATATTCATCTGGTGCTATATATAATGCGATGTTATGTTAGTCAGATCTCACTGCCATTATCTTGAAGCTCAACGCATCATTAGCTTTACATAGATATTGAAGCAGGTTTTGCCTAACTTGTAATTCTGGATGAAAACCTTCCTTCTTGAAATCAGGGATGTTCAAGGCAAACCGCAAATTCACATCGAGTGGACAAACCGACGAAAAGAAATCAACTTGTAGCTTGATTGATCTTGTTTGATATTAGTTTGGTTTGGTATATTCATATACAAATCATCTGTGGAATTATTTTTGGATTTTGTTTTTGAGGATTATTACATGTTGAAAAGGGGATCTTCACTCTTCAGATATATCTTCTAAAGTGAATTTGAAAGTTATCCTTGTTGAGTGACTATTTTCCATTGATCTAATAGTGGAAAGCTTTGAGCTTAAAAAGTTTTAGAAAGAGAAGTTTCCCCTTACTCCTACAATTTTGAGCTTAAGGAGTTCGAGAATATAAATTCGCTATTATTCATGTTTTAGCAATTTTTTTTGAAAAAGATAACAATATATTAATAATCAGCGCAAAGGTTTAACATATTTACTCCTGTTTTAGCAATCTTTGGGCTTTTTAGTACACGACTGGAAGTTTCCGTTATACCTGACGGGGCATTTCAAGTTTTTGAATCATTTGAAGAATCACCACCTTCCGCTACTGCTTAGCCACAAATTGGCCTGTCTCTTCTAACTTATAAAGATTTTGATAGATATTTAAGTAACTTCATTTCTTTTTATTTCAGGAGCTCTCTGTGATTGTGGCTAGGGGAAGGGATAGTTCAATTGCATGTTACCCTGTTGTAGAAACTATTCACAGGTTTGATTGTGCTTCTTTGCCAACATATTCACCATTTGTGGTATCCTTTGTGTTAATATGAACTTTTCAGAAGTTGACTCTACCATCATTCCTGATTACTGGATCTCGTATGTTAACAGGGATAACATTTGTCATATCGTAAAGTCACCTGCTAATGTATCTTGGAAGAGTATGAAACTTGCAACGGACGTTGCGCACATAGCTGTTAGTTCATTAGAAGGTGCAGGAGTTTTCGCTGTTGAGTTGTTTTTGACAGAAGATGGTCAGGTTATCTGGCAATTTCCACACGTATTCGCTATATAAGGAACTTAATCAGTATTTATGCATTTGCTGATCTCTTCAAAAGTATTTCATACAATAGACCCTTGTGGTCCGGCCCTTCCCCGGATCCCGCGCATAGCAAGAGCTTAGTGCACCGGGCTGCCTTTTTAACCTGTCTGTAATTGTTAGTTTCTTGCAGATTTTACTAAATGAAGTAGCTCCCAGACCTCATAATAGTGGGCATCACACCATTGAGGCTTGCTTCACTTCACAATTCGAGCAACATTTGCGGGCTGTGGTTGGCCTTCCACTTGGTGATCCATCAATGAAAACTCCTGCTGCAGTCATGTATAACATATTGGGGGAAGATGATGTAATCTTCCATACTAATTTTTCTTTCTTTCCTCCCCCCTAATAATTTGATGAGATTCACTAAATGCTAATTACTGAATTAGTGTTGGAATGCTTTAGGAAAATTTGTACACATGGGCATTCTGTCTTTTTGAATATGCATTTTCACATGAATGTGCTGCAGGACTATTGCTTTTACCATCTGTCCCCCTAATACATCATATTGTCTGGCTTGCAGTGATTGGTGTTTAAATTGTGAACTGCTTTTAGCCAACCAAATGTATTCAATGGATATCCTCAACCTTCTGTTTATTTCTATCCTTTGTTCTTCACTTCCGGCATATCTTTAGGTTGGCTCTCCTCAACCCTCCCTACCCCCAAAAAGGATGAAAATAAAACAAAGAACTTTATCACAAAAAAAAAAAAAGAGAACAAAAGGGCCCTAAACTCAGAAGGAACTAGTAAATGCTCTCTTTATCCAAAATGATGCTACATCTTCATAAAATCTGTTTCATGCATTTTTGAAGTCTCTATTTGCTGTTTGCATTAGTACTTAATACATGAGCAGCAACTCTCATACGCTTGTCCAACATTGTGTTTTTGCTTCTAGGGCGAACCTGGATTTCTTTTAGCTAATCAACTTATTGGAAGAGCATTGGGAATTCCGGGGGCATCTATTCATTGGTATGACAAGCCAGGTTGGTGGATTTGACCTCGTATACCTTAAACGCCTATCTTTCCATTAAAAAACAAGTAAGCAAGTACGCCACCAAAAAGTTGAAACTGTATGCTTCAATGACTTGTAGAGATGCGAAGGCAACGCAAGATGGGACACATCACAATAGTTGGCCCTTCTATGGGCATTGTGGAAGCTCAGCTAAGGGTGATTCTAAATGAAGGAAGTGTTAATGGCCAGCCTGCAGGTTAGTTGTCAAAATGTTTTCATAAACATATTCAAGTTTTATGTGTGTAAATATTACACACTGGTCAGCTGTTCAGGAGTAGTTAAAAAGTTGATAAAAATTTCTATTTTTAAAAGTATTATTGAAATTGGTGGTCAAAGGTTCATGTCAGGAGAGGCTATGTGGATATTGAAGCTTCTTACTAGTATAAATGCTCTTTTGCATATTAGAGATACTCGTACATGGATGTTTGATATTAAAATTTCGAACTTTGCACTCATCTAACGGGATGTCAGGTTATCAGCTAAATTATTTCCCAGTTTTTCGTTTATGTCTCCACCATTAATTTTGTATCCCCTGCTTTTTGGTCTCCCACTTTTTTTGTTTTCGTCTTGTTACTGTCATATTCTCTCCTCTATCCTTCCTTCTGTGCAACGATATTAAGCTGTCTTCCAGCTGCATGATTTCTCCTACTTAAAAGTAAATGTACGTTAACCAATCAATTTTTTGAGATCTATGCTTTTTCCAACTGCATGATGTTATAGTGGTACACTGTTGTGTTTTACAGACACCAAATAAATTAAGGACAGGTAAAATTAGCTTTCTTCCAGCTGCAGATTATTGTTCGAATATTTAGTTGAACATAATGATTTTTTTTTTCGTTCGCTATGCAGTTGCACCACGTGTTGGGATCATAATGGGATCTGATTCAGATCTTCCTGTTATGAAGGATGCTGCCAAGATTTTAAAAGAGTTTGATGTGCCTGCTGAAGTATTTACCATTAACTATTGGACCTCATTTTCCATATCATTCGGTGGCATGCCTAGTGTATGTATGTATATCATCACCTCCTAAGTGACCCAAGAATCTTGTAATGATGCAGGTAAAAATAGTTTCAGCCCACCGTACACCTGAGATGATGTTTTCCTACGCTTTGTCTGCGCGGGAACGTGGTATTCAAGTAATAATTGCTGGTGCTGGTGGTGCCGCCCACTTACCTGGTCAGTTGTCTTACAGCACAAAATAACTTACCATGTTGTAGGTCTTCTAGTATGCACTAAATGTGGTTTTCACTTGAGCAGGAATGGTTGCTGCATTGACTCCACTACCTGTTATTGGCGTTCCAGTACGCGCTTCCACATTAGACGGACTTGACTCCCTATTGTCCATTGTTCAGGTACTTTTGGTTTTTGCTCTAGAACAATAGCATTCAGTCATGTCAAGCTCAGTACTTATGGGGATTAATGTCTCTTGTAAATTCAATGGCATTTGTGGGCCTGCTAGCTGGAAACATACAAAAGAGACAATATTTGCTTCCAAAAGTTTTCTTGATAATGATAATAATTTAGGCTTTAAAGTTAAAGAGAGAACAATGCAAAAGAAAAACATATGGTAGGTTATCTAGAGAACAAAGATCTTGGTGAAAATTAGCTGCCTGTTCTTTTCTACATTCTTGGCTGGAGTAGTGTCAAGTAGAATAATAACAATTATGCCTCAAATCCATTTCGCTCCAGTTGGAATCGGCTACATGAGTCCCATTATCCATTTCTCTCCAGTTGGAGTAGTAACTAAGTGCAATAGTATTATTTCTATGACAGAGTTCTATCAAAAATAACATTGAAGGATCAAAAGAAAATTTCTATGACAGAGCTCTATGCTTTACTGTTATATAACATCCTGGACTCGGGGATGGAACCATCTCATTGATTGATTTTGCCTAAATATCAGCTGGTAGTGGCAATGCGCCCTGACCTATTAAAGGCCTATTTTCTTTTTGAAATGCTTCAGAAGTTAATATATATCTTTTCTTCCTTCTCTCTTAAGATGCGACTATGGTAGTGGTTGCCTGTATAACCAGCAGGCTTACTAGTTACAACTTGGTATTTGGGAATGTTTCTTATCAGTTTTATGCATACAGCTTGTAAGATAATTTACGTGAAAGCAGTTGAAATATCATACATTCATTTATATGTAGATGCCAAGAGGGGTCCCAGTTGCAACAGTTGCAATAAACAACGCCACAAATGCTGGTCTGCTGGCAGTAAGATTGTTAGGGATCAGCGACATAAAGTTGCAAGCTAGGTATTGAAACCTTCCTCCCTCATCTTTTCTTGTAAAAATTTCTTCTTCCCTTCCCCCCTTTACCCACCATCTACCCTCCACACGTACACGAGAGACAGGAGAGGATGCATTGCACTGTTAGCCCATAAATTTCGGCTAAGCTAGCAATTTAATCATTAATTATTTTTAGGAGTAAAGATGTCCTTGAATTGATTTAAACATAATAACCTTAACACATCTGTTAGATTCCACTTCATATTCCGTTAAATTCAATTAATTACGACGATACAAAAATTTCTAGAAAAGCATTATTATAGCCATTAGAATCAAAATGAAAAGAACTTGCATATTTTTGGAAAGAGTAAGTTTGAGATTTGTATTTGCAAAATATCCTTGAAGCGATAAATAAAATAAAACAGCAAGTATGAGATGTCAAGTAATGACAGAACTTCAAGATATTTTTCTAATCGAAGTTGACATTATTATGTTCTAAAGCTATTAGCTCAGTTAACCCNCTGGTCAAGGGGGAGAGACTAGAAAAGGTTGGCTTTGAAGAATATTTGAACTCTTAAATTATTTCAGCACTAGCTGTTTCTAACATGCACCAAAGTGTATTAGCATGGTGTTGACCTGTTTCGTACAATAGTCAATATTAAAGAGCATAAGCACGAGCACGAGCAGTAGACAACGGTAGGTTACATTGATGCTGGTCGGAAGCAAATGCATATTGAGACCGATGAAGGAAAATCCATCGTGCAAGATAACGTCGAACAGCCTTCTGCTTGTAATCTTGTGAAAGATGTGTTGTTCTTTCTTCTCTTTTTTTCTCTAATCTGGATTTCAGTGGTTGCAAGAGTGTAATTGTTCAAAACTAAACTACTGGTCTGTTCTGCAGACCATTTTTAATCTGCTTTGAGATTTAAAAGGATGAGAATTACCAATTTTGATGTATGAAATTGAGGAATATTGAACTTTTGCTGCATTCTTACATACTTCCTGATGGACAGCAATTGACCCGCCAGTTATATTCGTTTATTAATTTGAGCTTGTTGTAAGAACTCTTACATTTTAAATTTTGGATCCGCCTTTGTTCTTGGGTGGTGGGTTAGGAATGGTTTTGAAAGCCTGTAGCATTAGCTTATTCTACAGAAGCACCACCATACACGTTCAGAATAAATAACTAATTGTGGCCTAAGAAATGCAACTTCCATGCAGATGAAGTTGGTGGAAAATGATACTAGTAAAGAAAGTTCGTGTCCATGTTAATAATGCAGTTGAACTGAAATTGACCTTGTTAAAGAACACAACCACCAGCCTGTTGCCAATTGCCAAACCTTGGTCTTTCACGTACTTTGGTTGATATCTATTTCATTTCATGACCCGTCACATCATCATGTCACGTAAGTGCCACTTGGCATATATTTTTGCCATATGGAAAGCTTACATAGGAAATAGGCTAGCACTTATAGGAAGGTTCTAGAAAAATATAGAGGTTTCCCGGGAATACCCTAAAACCTTATGGAATTGTTAGGATGTCCGTAGAAGATTCTAGCTGTGTTGAGAGTTCTAGAGAGGGGACTTACTTGTAAATAATAAGGGACTCATGTAATAATTTTTATTTACTCACTAGCCCCTAGCCCCTAGCCCCTAGGAGACTAGTATATAAAGAGGGATATTCATTTGTAAATCATTAAGCAAACGAATCAAGTTCTTTCTAATACAAAATTTCCTTTGGTAATTCTCCTATGTTCTAACATTCCCTTAACGATCTTGAGTGTGGTAAGACTGACTTGGCATAGCAAGAAAGTGAGTAAGTTGTCAAGTGCCGCACGTGTACTTAGTTAACAACTAAAGAAGTGACATCTATTTGTAAAACTTCTTCAGAATTGCTTATCCACTTGAGTCTTTGACTCTTCGCATACGTTTTTAATTAATCCAGCTATAAAAGGATACGAAAAATTGACAGGTAACATGGGTGGGTGGTTCTAGTATTTTAGCATCGACTTCATTCGAACCTAATATTTTCAATGGGAGTATAAATTTTTATGTGAAATTCACAATTTTTTTATTAAAGATTAAATTTAAACTCATAATTTTTATACCACAATGAGTTTAATATAAGAACCTTAAATGTTGAACTTATCGAGGTAATATTCTTGATCGGCTGATAGGTAAATTCTAACATTTTGTATTAGGTGTCAAGTAACTAGTATCTTTAACTCGAACTACATATATTTAGTTAATTATTTTTTATCAAAGAAAAGAAGTTATATATTTATACTTAATTCACAATCACGTCACAAAGGATTGACACTCTCTATAATTCTAGTTCCACCTTTGCATAGGATAAAATATGTTCATATTTTATGCTCGCATAATAAAGCGACACGTGGAGTCGAAGGCAGATGAAAAGTGAGGCAAAGGACAATCAAGTCCGAGGACAGCAATCTCGTTTGTTCCCGAAGGGAATGTTGCTCATAAAGATAAAATAAATGTCTGTCACCGGTAACATTTAATGGAGATTATTCTATAACATTAAGTGCGTAGCCCGTTACAGAGAATATGACATTCATAGCCTGCCGTTACACATTCTCCAATGGCCCCCATAATTATCATTTAAGAGGGGTTTGATCCTAAGACCTTGTTCCCTAGTGTCACGACCCAAAATCCCCTCCGTTTGGGTATCGTGATGGCACCTAGTCTTAAGGACTAGGTAAGCCTAACATTAATTGAAACAACATTATTTAAACAACATCTAACAATTTGAAATAGAAATCTCTTAAAGTTTTACAATTCCCAAAATCCGGCAATACAAGTCATAAGCTCAACAGAGTATTTGCTAGAAAGCTTCTAAATACAACTGTCCAGAATTAAGAATAAACAGTGCAAAATAAAAACTTGAAGGTGACTCCGAAGCCTGCGAACGCAGCAACAGGTTTACCTTGAGTCTCCACAGCAACGACCCGCACAACTACTAACGAAACATACCTGGATCGACACAAAAAAATGTGCAGAAGTGTAGAATGAGCACACCACATCGGTGCCCAGTAAGTATCAAGACTAACCTCAGCGGAGTAGTGATGAGGTACAGTCAAGACACTCACTAGTCAAATAACCCGTGTCATACTAAAATAATCGAGAAAAAATAGCGGTGATATAAATAGTAAGGCAGCAAGAACACCATAATTATTGTTCCGACAAATAAGAAAGAACACAAGTACAACCAATTAAACAAGTCTTTCACATAAGAACCCTTCAAATAAAATACCTTCCAAATATATATTTCCTTCGAATATAAAACTCTTTCAAATAAATATCTTTAAAATAAAAAAATTCAATTTAGAAGTCACCCGTGACACCTCATTTCATAATCATCAAATACGAGTTTCAACCCACCTTTATATTTTCACGTCACCTCGTGCCCATGTTTCTATCACAACTGCACGGACTACTCACGTGCCAATAATATCAATGTATATAAGATCCACATGATCAATTTATTCCCAATAAGGTAATTTTAAGATATTTAAATCAAGTAGAAAATCAACAAAAGAATGAGTTTATTTTAGAAATCATTTGGGTGGAGAAAATAACATTTCAATAAAAATGAAACACCTAATAGTTGCCGATTTGGATGTGAAACTTATAAGAATTAAAGCATCCAATAATTTCTTTTATTCAAAACAACTTAACCTTAAAAATTAGTAAAAGCTGGAAATACAAATCCTCAGAGTCTCGTACAAGGGCCAAAGCCAACACATTACAACAAGGAGTACAAACACACAATAAAATCAAATAATATATCGCGGAAGAACACAAGAATTTACATATCACAGAAAAACAAAATAACCAAAGGCAAGTGCAACCATAGAAAATATCAACAAAAAGAGTACTCCCGAGGTACCGCCTCGTGGTCCCAAAAGTAAATATGCAACATCAACAATGCCCCAGGCCATCACAAATCAATCCCCGACATAGCCCACCTTGTCTCGCCACGTGTGCAATAGTAAAGTGAATGCTTGCCTTGTCTCGCCACACGTACACAATAATGTTCCCACTTTGTCTTTCCACGTGCGCCACCCCTCCCCCCTCCCCCACACATATATATACCGCATTTTCACGCTGCATGTGCAAAGATCAATAGTAGCAATAGCACATCAGAAACCTCGTGCAAACTATCGAACATAACTCCCACAATATAATGTGCCAATATCACATTTCATAAACTGCACCTCAAGTACTCAAATATTACAATATAGCATAGATTGCACATCAAGTGCTCAAATATCACTACTTGCCACAAAAATCAACGATACCTTATTTTTCACAATAAGGAGCCCATGACTCGACCATAATGTGCACAAAAATCTTAACAAAATATGCGGAAATGAACAACTCAGAAAAATAATATTTCACATAAAATTCAAGGTGGCAATTACACCAAATCATCATGTAAAAATAATTTCAACAAACAAGGATCTAGACATGACAAATAGAGAATTTAATAGGTGCCAATAATTTTTCATTTAATACATAAGGGCGTCTAAAGATTTTTAACCAATGTAATTTGCACATATAACCCAAGTACGTACTCGTCACCTCTCGTACATGGTTTTCAATTACACAAATTGCACATAAGACTCAATGCCTAAGGGGTAATTCCCCCACTCGAGGTTAGGTAAGATACTTACCTTTTTTTTTGAAGTTATGCCGATATTCCAAAATCGCCTTCTTGCTTGGATTGACCTCCGGACCGCTCAAATCTATCCAAATTAATTGTATAACTTCGTTAAAATTCATCGGAAATAATTCCGGATAATAATACATCGACTAAAAATTTATTCCAAAAAGTCAACAAAAGTCAACGCAAGACTCGCTTCTCGGAACCCGACATAATTTTTATGAAATCCGAAAACCCATTCCGATACGAGTTCACCTTTACCAATTTTATCGAATTTCAATAACAACTCGACCTCCAAATCTTAAATTTTTGTTTTTGGAAGATTTTGTAAAAATCTTGATTTCTTCCTTTTAAATCCGAATTAAACGATGAA